GCCAGACAAATAGTAAAAACAAACTCATTAGTCATAAGTGCCCTCATGTAGCTTAAAATTTAGCAGAAATGGCAAGCAATAAACAGGTAAGGGCATAATTAACAACACTTTACACCAGATCGTTGCTTCCTTCTTAAAAATGTATCCTTCACTTGATTCATCAAATTTTATACTAACCTAGCTCTCCTTCTAAATTACCAGCTGCTGGTCTCAGTCTCTTTTGTTAGTTTCTCCTCCTTTAGTTTCCCTGAATAGGTTCCTGTTTTCCATATCAATATTCACTCTCCTGGTAATCTCGCCCACACTTTATGTATCTCCACACTGACAACTCCCAAACTTACATTTCCAGCCTGGACTGAAAACCTATGCAGGTATATATTCTCTCACTAGTCATTCTCCTCGGCTGTCCAACAGGCATGTAAAACTAAGCATGTCCGAAGCCACACGCGGGCTCTTCCCTCAAATCTGCTCCTCTGGCCTTTCTCCACAGGCCGCATGGCACAGCCCCAGGAGATCTGAACATAACACTCGTAATTTTCCATCTCACAGAGTATCAACTAAATGCTTCTGGTGTAAAATAAAAAATCTTGCCATCATCCTTGACTCCTCTTGACAAATCGTGCCTGACAATTCTCACCACATCTTCTGCTCCCACCCTGATGTGAGCTACCTTCGTCTCTCACCTGGTCTCCTAGGTTCAGTCCTTGGCACCAGCCACTCCCACCCCATGCCTGCTTCCCTACACACCCTGGTCAGCAGTCAGGGGGAGCCAAAAAACCTCACTCGTCTGCGTCTGCTTGAAGGCCTCCGATAACGTCCTCTCTTCTTCAAAGTAATGGTTTTCAAGGCCCCCTACCACCAAACCCTCACTACGCCTCCCACCTTCTGCCATACTCCTCCACTCACTCACTGGCGCTCACTGGCCTTTGCCCTGGGTTTCACAGCTTACTCCAGTAATCTTTTCCCTTATGTAAGCATAATAAATGGCTTACAATGGGTAAATGCATAATAAATGTTAGCCTCTCTTTAAAAAATAAAATGCCTTCCTCGATTCTTATAAAATTTCAACACACAGTCATATGATGAAGTCATAAAATAAAGGTACAAGGAAAAGTGTTCAGGGCCAGCGTAGACTTCTGCATACTACAACAAGTACACTCTATTTTGTTCCCAAAAGAGCTGAGAAAAAATCTTACAGTGCTGAGTATCAGTACTGCTCTTTCTGCCCGGATCGCTCTGCCCCAGACACGGGAAGACTTGCTCTCTCACCTCCTCCTGGTCACTCTCAGACGACTCCATCTCGGGGAGGCCTTGCTGACCATCCCATCTGAAACCACAGCTCCTGCTGTGTCCTTGCTCCCTATCCCCTTCTGGCTGCTTGATGCTATTGGTGACACACTACTAGCTCACCTCACTCAAAGGGAAAATCTAGGAGGGGAGGAATTTCATTTTTTAATTAAAAAAATTTTAATATAACTTTTAGAGGCCACACTCTATTTACAGTTATTACAAAATACGGTGACACTTCCCATGCTGTGCAATGCATCCCTGTAGCCTGTCTTCTGCCCAGCTGCTTTAACCTCCCATCCTCTCCCCACTGGCAACAACCAGTTTGTCCTCTACACCTGTGTGTCTGCTGCTTTTTTGTTTTATTCCCTAGTTTGCTGTATTTTTTAGATTCCACATATACAGTATGTGTCCTCCTCTGTCTGACTTATTTCACTTAGCATAATGGAGGGCAGGAATTTTAGTCTGTTTGTTCACTGCTGTAAATCAGTGCCTGGCACAGAACGCTCAGTAAATAACTTGCTGAACCACAACAAACACACGTAAAACTGCAACGGACAAGTCCAGTGAAGAACTGAAGTGCTGGGGGAGCCTGCAGGGAGATAAGAAAAGCCCACGTGAGAAAGTCAGACGTGATCTGAGAACTGAAGGATGAGCAGGAGTTAACCGGGACATGCATAAGCTCAGTGGTGAGAGCGACTGAAAGGCCACCGCAGCTAAACCAGAAAGAGGTAGAAAAGGCTTAAGACGGGATTGAGGTAGGAAGTGGGTAGGAAAAGGCAAAACTCTTTGAAGAGATTTGTAGATGATATTACAATAGTCTGTCTTTATCTTCAGAGCAAAGGAAGCCACTGAAGCATTTTAAGTACAGGGATAGTATGAGCAGATTTACATGCTGAGAAGGTTAGCACGGCTACTGGGTGGAGGAGAGTTCAGAAGGGTTGGGTGGAGATGGACAGATCAGGGAAGAGGGCCTTGGGTTACACCGCGGTCTTGGATTAGGATGATGACAGCAGAGAGAGAATGGATAAATAAGATACTTAGTTTAAAAAAAAATCAATGGGACTGGTGCTAAATTAGATCAGGGAGTGGAGTGAAGGGAATTTTAAGGTCCATGTCTATAAAGTTTACGCACTGATGTCCCAGGGAAATTAAAAATCCCCATTGACTTGAAGTCTATGTCCTTAAATAGTCATTATCTAAATCTTCAATGTCCAAGCCCCTAGACACAAACAGCTATGGAGCACTTGCAGTGTGGCTTCTCCACATAAAGATGTGCTGTAATTGTACAATATACACTGAATTTCAAAGTCTTAGTACAGAAAAAAGACAGTAAAACACCTCAGTAATTTTTATACCAATTACAAGTTGAAGTGATAATATTTTGGATGTGGTAGGTTAAATACAATTATTAAAATTAATTTTACCTTTTTTACTTTGTAATGTGGCTACTATAAAATGTCAAGGGGTGTAAATGGCTCACATTACATTTCTATATACTAATCTCATGTGAAACAGCAATATAGTCATTGCAGTTTATTCAGAAGGGAAAAATATGTCTAAGGAGAAGATGGCTGAATTTCAGGGCATAAAAAAGTAACTTTTATAAAGAATCCTAGTTTGTTTTGTTCAGGGATGTGAGGAAATGAATATTGCAGTTTTTGTGATTTAAATACAAAAGCTATTTTTGTTTGTGCCTTTTTTATAGACTAGATTGCTCCTCTTCTGTTGCTAATTTAATGGTTTAGTCGAGAGTGCCCTCCATGGTAAGGGGGGAAAAGTTAGAGAAACAAAGAACTGTGGAAATGACAGGGACTCAGAGATGATTCAGGCCCACCACTTCATTTTTTAAGTGCCAAACTTGAGATACTCAGACATTAAGTAACTTACTTGACAATCACAGGACTAATCCTGTCTACACCACTGAAGATACAGATGTTTTCTCTAACTCATTATAATCATTATAGTAGACTTACTGTCCTATAAGAAATACACTGTATTTTGTTCCCAAAAGAACTAAAAAACATCTTATCATCTTATGGTACTGAATATTAGTATTATCAGTGACTTGGTTTGGGGATACAAAATCATATTTACATTCTTATCTGCTAAGAGTGGAAAAAGCATCAGGTTTTAGAGTCTGAAAGCCAGTTCCAGGGCTTAGCTGTGTACCAGGGACAACTGCCATTCTGTTTTCTCATCAGTAAAACAGGCACTACCATACTCAGGTTGTGATAC